GCTCTGGAGATTAAGTTTTTGTGTTCATGCCGTCATATAGTGAGACGCAGAGGCCAGAAATCACTGCGAGTGTCACACGTGCTTCAGTATTTGTGTAGTAAACACAAAACCGCGTTTCCGCCATTCATACATACAGAGGCAAGAGGAACATGCAGGATTCATATTTAAATTGTCTTTTTGCATTTTAATACTCACAGACACTAGTTCATATCGCGATTCGAATTAAGTGGCAGTGAGTGGCTACTTTTGATTTATTCGTCCAAAAATGACGAATTCCGTGGCATGCCGCGCTATAGAATAAATTACGTTTTTATGAATGGACTCCGCGATCCCATCCGTGTTTTCGCAGAAACCATATGGCCCTAGAAATGTAACCACACTTCAGAACATTTCGGCTTGCCCTGTGTGTTGTTTGAACGAGTTGCAGGGGTGACCTCACGTCACAGGGTCTCTCTTTCTCTCTCTGCAGCGCATGCGCCCAGATGTGTTCTCAGGTACCGAAATTTGGCACTGATTGATTTAACGTGAATCGGTACTTGGTAGTACCGACGCAATTCAGTCGGTACCCTTAAAAGTACCGAGTTCGGTACCCAACCCTAATGATTAGGGCTGCCCCCTAATAGTCGACTAATCGTTAGTCGACCAGAAGAGGCTTGGTCGACCAAAATGTTCTTAGTTGCAGAAAAAAAATAAATAAAAAAATTCCACAGGCGAAGTCACGCAGTCTGTGACGGACAGATCGTTAATGCTGGTCTGTGTGGTAATACAGTACATCGGGTAGGACATCCAAACGCTCACCTATCAGTCATCAACCTCAAATATGACTTATAATCTGAAGTATGTAAGTATTAGCAACTTTACATGGCCGCTCAATCTAATGTTAACCAAGAGAGATGTGCGCTATTCAAGTGTCTGTGTGGAAGCTGAACAGTAGCGCTCACTGCAAGACAGATGAAGGCGCCGCTGCACTCACTTGCTCTTAAAATACTCCTTATACTATACAGATAAGAGTGATACATCTTTCAAATCTGTAAAGACTCTACGTTTATTTGTGTGCACTCACAATAAAAACAAATCGCGCTTTTGTGAAATAATGAAAGCAAACAGGATGCGCTTTCTGCAGTCTCGTTCTCTGTGAACTTGGGCGTGAAACTCCGTGTATATCTTTACCTTACGGACATAAAAAATATATCTACAGAGAGTGAAATGTCTACTTTCAAATGAACCAATTCAAATGGAAAACAAATATTCTCAGATTATGTAATCCGTGTGAAACATGAATACAGGGGCAGCAGTACTGTAGAGTCAGTGTCGCCAAATTCATCTCTTAAACCGAAAACAAAGAAAGCACTAGTTTATCAGTGAATTATTCAAATGTTAATGCAGCCTCCTTACAGTTTTTCCCTGACACATTCATAATCATTACTTCTGCCGGCGCGCTGTGGCAAGATTTATGCGTGTGCTTGAGCGCTTATTGGGCTTTGAAGGCAATTAAAGGCTCATTATAATGATTTAAATGGTTTATTAATAAACGTGCGATTAGTCGACTAATGCTTAAAATGAACGACTACTAGTCGACCAGAAAAATCCTTAGTCGAGG